ATATTCACAACCGATTTCTTCTAAAATAAGCTACCGTACTATATATACAACGGACGTTATTATCCCAGCCCCACCCCCAGAACCCATGCTTAGCTCACCAAAAATCGACCACGTCCCGTTATGGGACGTGTTCCAACTACCCAAGGAATGAAAGCTGAGAAGTCCGGAAGGATACTGAGTTCCTAGTAGCTTCTTGTTCCTAGTAGCGATGCCAGGAGCCCCTAGTAGCGTCCTTGCTCCTAGTAGCGATGCCAGGAGCCCCTAGTAGCGTCCTTGCTCCTAGTAGTAAGGCCAGGAGCCGCTGGTAGCGTCCTTGTTCCTGCATTTTTTTTGCTTACATTTGGCACCTTTGGCTGTTACATTGACGAGGAGCGCCCAGCCAGGTGCCACGGAGCCGCAGCAAATCACACAAGTGCCAAAGCTTCTTCAAGTAAGGCTGTGCTAGCCTGGAAACACTCAAGACAAGTTCCGCCCGCAAACAATTAGCAAACACAGTAAGATGGGTCCAGGTGCAAGCAAATGATTGGCTATGCCTTGAGTTCTGGTTCTTCTCTAGCTCTGCTCGGAGTTCGAGTTTCGAAGCAGCATTCACAAAGAAATCTGGAGCCTCCCATGTCAACTCCGAGATCGAAGAAGGCTAAAGCTGAGATCTAAGAATCTACATGCATATCACAAAAGAATCAAAGCACTATCGCAAGTATCCGGCGCGTGCCTGATGGTCTAGATTCTCATAAACAACCAGCAAGTGCATCAACAAAGGCCAATCACCCGAAGGTAAGGGCTCCAAGCGTGATACCACCTGACCCATCCATCCAAGCAGGCCCTCTCATCAAACATACTTCAAGACTTGATCGGCAAAAGCACCACCGTCTATTGCCAACCTCGTCGACAGCACAAAGCCATCTCTCTGCATCGTTGAAAATTGCACGGTGGCAGGCATGCTCAAGCACCTGGGCAGCTTGTCTGTGTGCTTGTTGGCAAGCGTAGCTCCAAAGTCTCTTCAAAGTCTGAGTCATACTTCCACCCTCCTTCCACAAAGACCACAAGGCAGCAAACCAACCTGATTGCTGCAGAATACACTCTACATGCGCCTGATGATGTGTTTTTTTCTTCAGCAGGTTGGTCACAAAGCCTGAGGGCATGCAGCATGGGACGATTTTATCTTTGTATGCACCATGCGAATGTGAAGCTTCCTTCCTCTTTCCAAGAACCATCAAGGACATCAAGGACATGTTGTCCATTAAAAATATTTTAAGATGCTAGGGCGCAAAGGTCAGCGTTTATACTACAAATCTCCAGATGCAAGGCCTGCCGCCCAGGACTGCAAGTGATCAGGCCAAGTACCCATAGCAGACTGAAGACTGCTGAACTTCTGTCGTTTCTACTTTTGTGCTCTTGTGGTCTTATTTTGGCAAAGGGTCGTGACGTCGTGAAGCAAAGAAAGAGAGCTGCTTGTGGTTGCGAGAGGGATATCCTGTGCAATACTGTATGGTGAAGCTCAGAATGATGAAGTAGACACAAGAGAAAATGGTTGTGGCCAGTTGTGTATATGGCAAGCTCTTTTCATACTATTGCCTTGGCATGGACGGCTGCATACTGGTGAAAGACTGAAAACCTGCAGTTTCTCTCCGTCAACCGCAGCTCACAACAGATAGAATGCCTAACTTCGCAATCGATTGCACTACAAATTTCTTACAGTATTCTGATGGAATAATGCGCCTCCCACTTTGTGCCAAGGCAACTGAATCTTCTGAGCTGGTCACCAGTACTGAGGACATTCGCCTTTGCCAATGATTGAAAGCTTGTAGCAAAGGATGCTATTGCATCGCTAGTTGCTTCCATAGGTGACTTCACCCCCTTCATTCTCGTTTGGTTGCCTGGTGTCGCTGTGCCCTCAAATCACCTGAAATACCTTTCAAAACAGCTGGGACCACAGCATCTTCTAAGCAGCTGGGTAGGTTGGCCTGCTGTGGAGAGTCAATTCTCAAGTGATTCATCACAACTGTAGGCATGAACTGTCCTTTGTGTGTGCAGTAGATAGGTACTGTTCCTTTAACCAAGTCCATCACCAGCTTAGGGCCTCCTCTGCCTCCAGACTCTCGACCTTGCAGTAGGGATTGAGCCTTGGAACAAACCAACCAAGGAACTTTAGGAAGTCTTCGAGGCAAAGAGGTTCGAAATGGAAAGGCCCAATTCATGTGGTTCAACGAATGTTCAAGCCTGTTTTTGCGCCTGAAAGGATGCTGTCCTCATTAGGGTCAAGGCGACTTCAGCTGCGCCAGGCATTCGAGTGCCCGAGGCTTGCCTTGGCGCATCTGTTGCACAGTCGGCCTGTGGAGCAAAGGACTTGTGAGCTCAAACTGCTACAGGATGCCTGTGCTCGTCTCCATGAGGTAGAAGTTGCAACCCCTGTCCTGAAGGGAGATATGACTTGCTGAAGGTGGGCATCCAATATGTCGGTTGCCATCGAAGAAAACCTAATAAGAGCTAGCCGCCTCCACTGAGCTCTGCGAACGCCGAACTTTCCAAAAGAGGGTTAGTTTATGGTGCATGGTCTGCTCTGCGTTTCAGGCATTGCTCTGCACTACTCTGCAAAAGATTCTGGACCACAATATGTCATCAACATGTTTCAGGTAAGGATAGTGGCTCCATGGCTCATGTCAGACTGGATAGAAACCCATGTTCTTGTTGCTGTGGGCTTCCCTGCATTTTACAGTTGTGCCACCAAAACTCAGGGTACGAACTGGGTGGTTTGAGTGGTTTCATCATCTCAAAGTTAGGTGGGCAGGCGGGTTGGTGGGTGCATGTCGTATTTCATCGACTCTCGACTCATCTTGTTCCAACGCCTTTTCTAGCTGCGACCACCTCCTTTAGCCCTTTTCAGGAAGATGGACACCACTGTAGCGAAATGTTCTTTTTCCAAAATACGGGCTGATCCTCAGTGGATAGCAAGTCGTACAAGTCGTGAGAACCCCCATGCAATGAATCATGCCCAGCCACACCACAGTCATCCTCAGTCCTCAGGCTGCACTGGAGCTGGATCCCAAATCGTCACGCTACCCACCTGTGCATGACATCACAGTGACATCAGAAGTACGGTCGACTGCGGTAGCTGACTTGCTAAGTGGCCGGCATTACTCAAGATGAGATTCTTTGCTGCTTCAACCTCAACCAGAGGCTGGTAGAGGGAGATTTGGCGCAGTAAGAAAGTGATTTTCAGGCAATTATATACACCTTAAATGAAATATACAACCTACTATTGAATAGTTAAATCATATAAAAATAGATGTGTCTTATGTTTAAGAAAACAAACTTCTCACCCTAGCACACTGCCAAGCTGAGCTCTTTGCTCCAACTCCCCGACAGCCTAGAATGAGGACATTGATATCCTGCAGGCAGGTCGCAAAAAGATCCCCGCCCCGAACGAGTGTGAAAATATCCCAGAATCGTGAGGCAAAGGTCAAAGCTCTGCAAATGCAGTAAAGTTCGTCTGTGCTAGGCTCTGGTCTAGTGTGCCTCTGTCTGTGCTTGCCGTCTCTCATGCGCATGTATATATCAACTAGTGATTGCACTGTGTGCAGCTGCCGCGTTGAACCGCCTTCATTCTCGCCATGGTCTCTCCACCAAAAGCTGCCTAGCCAGGGCATATTAAGATCATGCCAAGCATCCCCCAAATAGCAGAAAGGAAGGGGTCAGTCTTCCAACAAGGTGTTTCGATGGTTAGACTCTTACCGAGGAAGGTCTTGTCAATGTTGACAAAGCTGATAAAACTATATAAAATTAGCCCAGCTGGAGACCCCAATAGCAAGATACAAACCGGGACAAAAAGAAAAATCTCGAAACAGCTGCTGTTTTCAACACATCGACCATCTCTTCCTTGGACACCATCATCACATAACCGGGACACCATCACAAAATGACCAGGGCACCATCAAAACATGACCGAGACACCGTCACAACATG